GAGCGGGTCAGTGGGAGAAGAGACTGGTGTGGAGGGGTCTGCGGGAGGAATTAGGGGACCCCCGGGGGATGGAGGGCTTTCAGGGACAGAGCTGGGGACTCTGGGAGGAGGGGCGGGGCTGGGTTTGCAGGGGAGGGGACCGAGGTAGAGGGTCGTGCGCGAGAAGCCGAGGGAAGAAGGGAGGACCAGCCGGCGCTGGATGCTGGCGGAGTGAGGGAAGGGACTCGCTGGCCAGGGGACAGGGTCTGCTGAGGAATGCGTTCTGTGGAGAGGTGAACCTCCAGAAAGGCCAGGTGTGAGCAAGGACGCTCTTGTTATAGGGGTTCCTAGTTGTAGGGGGGATCATTAAGTGCTCATCGTTAACGGAAAGATGCTTGCTAATTAGTGTACCCTGGAGACTGAGGCAGGCAGATCCTGAGTTCAACACTATCCTGGGCTACATAGAGTCTGTCTCAAAAAAAAAAAAAAAAAAAAAAAAAGTGTTAGCAAGTGTGATGACTCATGTGCAGGTTTGAAGTGTTGTTTACTTCTGGGAGTCACCAAGTGGGAAAATTGGCTGGATTGGTTGCGTTAATTGACCTGTGGTTGGGATGCAGCAGTCTGTGGGAGAAAGGCTAGGGAAATCAGTGAAGAGCCTTTATCGGGGAGGATGAGTTAGCTAACACTGACAACAGGCAGCAGATGGTTGACTGGTGTCAGAATAAGGGATATGTCGGAAACATTAAACTTGCCTTAGGAAGGAAGTGGGAAGCAGGCAGAGTGGCCCACGCCTGTAATCCCAACATTTGGGAGACTGAGGGAGGAGGGTTCTGTGAGTTTAAGGCCAGCTTGAGCTACAGGAGACATTGTCTCAAAAGAAGCGGGGAGGGGCTCACTTTTGAAGGTGGGAAAAATCCAATATTGGTGGTGGTATGAAGAGTTTCCTTGATGACTTCCTTTACTGCTGTTGGAGCCTCTATCAAATGCAAGGTGATGTCAAGAAATTAGAGGTCCATGAAACTACCCTCAACTCTAGGAGCTAAAGAAGTTACAGTTCCCTGTTGCCGTAGCCCTTCCCCAGATTTAATTTAGCATAGGTGCTCCCTAGATTGCCTCCTTGTTTCCCCCACCCCCTTCCCTCTCTTCCTTCCATAGTAAGACTGCCCTTTAGCCCAGAGTAGAATCTGCCATTTTCTTGTGCAACAAAGTTTGGGGAGAAGATGAAGGGGAAAGAGCACAAAAAACTGCAAAGTGGTTTTGGGAATACCACATTAAAACCCCAGCCTCTCCCAGAAGCACATCCAAATAAACCCTGGCTTTGTCGTAGCTATTCCTGCCAGGCTTCTATTTTTGCTTTGTTAACTATGAATTTGGACCTTCATCTCCTTTCAGTCCTTGCTTGTGAACAGACTTCTCCATCCTATGATCTCCCATCACAGGGTTGCAGTAGAATTCCAAGAACATGGCTGGATAGTGTTTAAAAACAACAACAACAAAAAAAAAAAAACAAAAAAAACAGGGAATACCTAAGGAAAGGGCAATTGGTGAAGGAATCTTAGACACAGGGAAATCTATTTCAGAAAAGGCACAAAGAGTGTGATGAAATTCTAATTGGGGAAATTGTGAGATATCTTTGGGAATGCCACAGTTAGGTCACTAAAAGGGAATTCAAAGGAAGGTCTGTCAGTCAGGAGGAGTTTGTGTGTGCAAACTGCAGTGCATAACTGGAGACGTCAAGTAGAAGAATGTTCTGTCTTGTGGTTGAGCAATAGAGGCATCAGATGAGGAAGACTGAGACGGGTAAGGTCTATATAAAGGTCATCTATAATTTTCTAGTCAAAGCGGCAACCCTAGTTGTAATGGAAGAATTTTAAACTAAAATAGAGAGAGGAATTATTGAAGACTTTAAAACTCTGTAAGAGTAAGTTAACTAATTTACTCAAGGAGTTCTTGGCTTCATTAGGGTTGGCAGTGTTTCTGAGAACTTCTATGGAACATGGAAAATTTCTATTGAGTGACTCCATTTTATTTTTGGAAAATAATTATAGTTGTTCATACCCTTACAACTTACGATTAGCAGATATTAGCCTTCTGATCTTTTTGAGTTTTGAAAATAGACATATTTATAGGCAAGGTTGTATAGATATCATTGGAAACTCTTAGCGCCATTCTCTTTTTTTCTTCAAATGTAACTTCTCTTACAGATTTGTTGTCTTTTCAGTCCGTTTCTTGAAAATTATGTAATTTTATTTTGTTTTGAGGGATCCATCTCATTGTGTAGCCCTGGCTGGCCTGGAACTCACAATGTAGACCAGGACAGCCCTGAACTCACAGGGATCTGCCTGCTTCTTCCTCCCTAGTTCAGGTACTGGAGGCAGGCACCATTACACCCAGATTTAGTCTGCTTTTAAAGGGGTACTAACTGGGGGCTGGAAAGATGGCTTAGTGATCCCTGGCTGTTCTTTCAGAGGACCTGGGTTCTGTTCCCAGCACCAATGTGTACGGAGGTTCCTGCAGGCAGAACACCCATGCATATAAAAGAAATGCTTAACAACGACAACAACAAACTTGTAATTGCCTATGCAGTCATAAACAGTGCATGATGTTTATTTATGCAAATGGGTGTGTTTACCTTGGCAGTTTGTAGTTGAAAACTGTTGCATATAACTTACATATTTAGTGTGTATGTTTGTGGACCCACAGAACGCACACATGTGGAGGTTAAAGGACAACCTGTGGAAGTCAGTCCTCTCCCTCCGCCAAATAGGGCCTAGGGTTCAAACTAAAATTGTTAGACTTGGCAGCAGGTGCCTCCATCTGATCCATCTTCCTGACCTTCATTCATTTTTAAAATCTGGTATTTTTTCTATATATACTGCATCACAATTTACCATTCTCCTTATGGCATCTGGATTGTTCTTAGTTTTCCCCTTAGGCAACAATGACATAGAGAAGGCAAGAATGTCCTTGTGTGTGCCCACATGTGTAGGAGAGTCTTGCCACAGCTGTCTATCCATCTTGGTGCTGCTAACAGTTTGGGCTGGGTAGATCTTGAGATAGCATATACATTTTAGAATTTCTCATGGCATTCCCTTCGTCTGCTTACTAGAAACCACTATCACACCCTTCCGGTTCTGGTAACCAGGAATGCCCCTGACAGATCTCTCTCTGGTACGGCAAAATCACAATAGAGTTTTCCACCTAAACTCTAGGCTTATGTTCGCAGAAGTGGAACTGCCAGCTTTCTCTGATCCAAATTCATTTTTACCAATATGGCCTTAGGACTTTCCCAGTGTAGCTGCTGCTACAAAGGACCTTGTCTGTCTTGCAGTGCTAGAGGACAGTGGATGGACCACTGAGACTGCAGTTTGAGAATGGATTGAAAACTGCTGTGTGAATGTTTACAGTTTCAACCTCCAACTAGCACCAGACTTCTTTCCTTGACCTGATTTTTTAAGGTGGTGTGGGTGAAGGAAAAAGGGAGAGCACAGATGTTACTGTCCTGAGACAATGCTTAGAGTGGAAGTGTCCTCAATAAAGGTTTCTTGAGCTGATTGCAGGTAGTAGCAAGGATGGAGTTTAAAGGCAGAACTTTGGAGTTGCAGCATCCCTCTGCCCTCGGGTCAGTACCTTGACTCTAGCAGTGCTGTGGGGAGGTGGAGAGAGCTGGGAACATTGTGGAATGAATCCAGAGTTTGAAATAAATGTCACCCTAACCTTCTCTTGGTAGGAGTCAACAGTAGCCTTCCTTGAAGAACTGCCTCTTCTATTTGCTGCCTGGAGTTAACATTGTTTCCTGCTGGCAGAATCAGGGAGATGCCAGCACTGTAAGGCTTCATCTTCGGATCTTCTTACAGTTCCTGGCTGGGGTGGATTATGTGGGGAGGAAACAGAGTCCTTGCTTTGCTCTTCTTTGTAGTCATGTCAGCTTGTAGTGCAGTTTCCTTCCTCATTGGTCCTTTCCATAGCTTTGTTTCTGTTTCCTCTTGTACCCTTGTAGTTCCCTCTCATTGTCTAGTTCCCTGTACCCTATCCCTACCCACTGTGAGGGTACTGGATTCTAAGCTGAAGTACCCACTTCTGCAGAGCGGGATGAGTGGGTGCTCCGGCGGGGATGTGGTCATTGACGGCCAATGAGGACGAGAACACTACAGCCCACTTCTTCCTCGGAGCTGGAGATGAGGGGTTGGGCACCTGTGAAATAGGCATGAGGATGGAAGAGAGTGACAGTGAACTCCTTGAGGACGAGGAGGATGAAGTGGTAAGTCTAGGGAAAGGGATATAGCTCGGTGTTGGGGCCCCTGCCCTAGAGAATTGATATTCTGTTGGATGGAGACACCTCTGTTCTTTGCAAGCACAGACTGTTGTAAACAGGCTCTATCTTGACTAGGGGAGGGGCAAATAGAGATTGGTCAGTTACCTGTCTCCGAAACTCCTGCTCAAAGGTTCTCCTCCTGTTGTCTTATGGTCACTGCTTCTTCTTTTGAAGACGCACTTTTCCTATAGGCTTTCTTCTGTAGTAGGCATCCTTTATCCCTTAGCTCCAAAGTCCTGGCAAGAAACTGCCTTGGAAAATCGTGACCATGTTGAAGGTGATATATGTGGGAACCTGGAGTTCCTTATAGCACTTCTTTTCTCTAGCCTCCAGAACCTCAAATTATTGTTGGCATCTGTGCCATGACCAAGAAATCCAAGTCCAAGCCAATGACCCAAATCCTTGAGCGACTCTGCAGGTTTGACTACCTGACTGTTGTCATCCTGGGAGAAGACGTGATCCTCAATGAACCTGTGGAGAACTGGCCATCCTGCCACTGCCTCATTTCTTTCCACTCCAAAGGTTAGGGGCTGGGAAGGAAGGATGGTGGTGGGGATGCTGGTTTGAGAATAGAATTCTTATTATCCCATTAATAAGAGAATGCCAGCTTCTCAACACACAAGGCAATAGTGAAGGGGGTTTGCCTTCTGTTTCAGGTTTGCTGGGTGAAGGTTTAAGCCCGTATCCCAGCCACACAAGACAACTCCAAGGCACTTAAAGTGGGTCTCTGGGAGGATCCTACATGTGATTGTGTTTATTATTGCAATGAATATCCTGGACTTGGGGTTCTGGGCAGCCGGGTTAGATGTTTGGAGGAACTCAGTGGCAGGTGCTAGCTCTAGGGGATCACGGTCTGTCCTGCTATTTCTCACTCTGTCTCTTTTACTTTTTTGGTCTCCCCATTTCTTTCTCCATCACAGGCTTTCCTCTGGATAAAGCTGTTGCCTACTCCAAACTTCGAAACCCCTTCCTTATCAATGATCTGGCCATGCAGTATTACATCCAAGATAGGTATAGCTTCCTATGGACCAGAGGGGAGGGTGACCCTGAAATGCCCGTTTAGGAAGCCTATTCTGGGATGGGCTGAGTCAAACAAACATGCTTCATTTTTTGTACTATCTTGTATTGAGTTATGCTTCCCAGTGCAAATAAAATTCCTATACCCCTTTGTTATCCCTACCTTTCCTACCTGGCTAATTTGTTTGGGGGTGACAGGAGGGAGGTGTACCGCATCCTGCAGGAGGAGGGTATTGATCTGCCGAGATACGCTGTGCTCAACCGTGACCCTGCCTGTCCCGAGGGTGAGTAACCGGCTGTGTCTGGTCATTCCCTGCCTTGATTTCCATGATTTAGCCCAATATTTGTCCCTTAAACACCTCCTCTGTACATATCTGTGTGTGCCTTTGACTGTTGGATTATAGGTAGAGTTATGGGTCTTTAGACAGCCTTTGAACTTTTATATAGATATTATCATATCTAAATGCCGTATATGAGAATTGCCATATCTGTTATAGGACATGGTCATAAAATTTGGAAAGTTGTATAGATTAAAACCCCAGGGAAATAGGAGTTGGAAATACTCTCCAACCTTAGGCCATAAGAACGATCACACACCCATTTTTCAGAGTGCAACTTGATAGAAGGTGAAGACCAGGTGGAGGTCAACGGAGCCGTCTTTCCCAAGCCCTTTGTGGAGAAGCCAGTGAGTGCAGAGGACCACAACGTTTACATCTACTACCCCAGCTCTGCTGGAGGAGGAAGCCAGCGCCTCTTCCGTAAGGTACAGGAGATAGCTGAGCATCTGGGAGGTCAGAGAGTAGAAGGGCAGTGAGGTTATTGGTAATGGAGAGGTGATTTGAGGACAAAGCCTGGAGATTGAAGCAATGTTGTTTCCCTTTCCTTTCCTCCTAAAGATTGGCAGCCGGAGTAGTGTTTACTCTCCCGAGAGCAGCGTCCGGAAGACAGGATCATACATCTATGAGGAGTTTATGCCAACAGATGGCACAGATGTTAAGGTTATGGTGGATACAGAGATTTAAAATGTTATAAACATCTGGGTGGGAATGAGGTGCTTGGGAAGCAAGTGGTAGTGTATGTGGATAGGATCTTAGAAAATGAAACACGATGTCAACTGGCTTTCACATTCAAGTGAAGATAACAAATGAGATATAAATGTTCTCATTTCCTCGATCAGAGCAAGAACAAGGTGTCATAGTACATTTTAAAACATTGGTAAATTATTATTTGATAAGGACTAGACAATAGTGCCAAACTCCTAAGGAGAAACCTGTGTAATATCACAGGAATAAGGCTCATTACCAAAAATATCAGTCTCTGTATTCTTTTTTAAAAATTATCTTTCTACATTTGTGTGTGTGTGTGTGTGTGTGTGTGTGTGTGTGTGTGGGTGTGTGTGTGTGTGTGTGTGTGTGGGTGTGTGTGTGTGTGTGTGTGTGTGGGTGTGTGTGTGTGTGTGTGTGTGTGGGTGTGTGTGTGTGTGTGTGTGTGTGGGTGTGTGTGTGTGTGTGTGTGTGTGGGTGTGTGTGTGTGTGTGTGTGTGTGGGTGTGTGTGTGTGTGTGTGTGTGTGGGTGTGTGTGTGTGTGTGTGTGTGTGGGTGTGTGTGTGTGTGTGTGTGTGTGGGTGTGTGTGTGTGTGTGTGTGTGTGGGTGTGTGTGTGTGTGTGTGTGTGTGGGTGTGTGTGTGTGTGTGTGTGTGTGGGTGTGTGTGTGTGTGTGTGTGTGTGGGTGTGTGTGTGTGTGTGTGTGTGTGGGTGTGTGTGTGTGTGTGTGTGTGTGGGTGTGTGTGTGTGTGTGTGTGTGTGGGTGTGTGTGTGTGTGTGTGTGTGTGGGTGTGTGTGTGTGTGTGTGTGTGTGGGTGTGTGTGTGTGTGTGTGTGTGTGGGTGTGTGTGTGTGTGTGTGTGTGTGGGTGTGTGTGTGTGTGTGTGTGTGTGGGTGTGTGTGTGTGTGTGTGTGTGTGTGTGTGTGTGCACGCGTGTGCACCATAGCATGCATGTGGAGTCAGGGGACAACCTGGGGCAGTCACTTCTCTCCTTCATCCATATGAATCCTGGAGATCAGACTTGTCAGCCAACATCTTTACCTGCTGAGTCATCTCATGACCCCAGTCTTTGTATTCTTAACATTTGGAGGGGTTTTTGTTTGTCTTGTTTTTGTTTTAAGACAGGGTCTCACTATGTAGCTCTGGCTGACCTGGGACTTACTGTTTTAGACCAGGTTGTCATTGAACTCATGAAGTCCTGCCTCTGACTCCTGAGTGCTGGGATTAAAGGCGGGTGCCACCACCCTTGGCTGTGCAGAGTTTTTTTGTTTTTTTTTTTATTCTAGAATAGTCTACAGACCTAGTGCTCATATTGTCTTCTCACATACAGGGTGAGCTGTGGGCATACTCAGTGATGCTATGTACCTGCAGGTGTATACAGTGGGGCCAGATTATGCCCATGCTGAAGCTAGAAAATCTCCAGCTTTGGATGGGAAGGTTGAACGAGACAGTGAGGGCAAAGAGGTTCGATATCCAGTCATGTTGACTGCCATGGAAAAACTGGTGGCCAGGAAGGTCTGCGTAGCTTTTAAGGTAGAGTGTGCTCATGGGGCTGTGGGATGAAGGAAAGAAACTGGGGCGGGGTCTGGGAACTTGTCTGTGATTCATCTTGCCTTTTTGTTTTTGCAGCAAACAGTTTGTGGATTTGACCTTCTTCGTGCCAATGGTCACTCCTTTGTGTGTGACGTCAATGGCTTCAGCTTTGTCAAGAACTCAATGAAATATTATGATGACTGTGCCAAGATTCTTGGGTAAGAGACCTCGGGCTGGGGTTTGGGGAGGTGGGACCAGGAGAGTTCTCTTCCTAAGCTGGGTGTGATGGTCTGTGCCTGTTACCCCAGCAGCTGGGAGGTAGAAGCAGTTTGAAACTATCCTGGGATACTTGAGGCTGTACCAATAAATAAAACAAACAAACAGATAAATAAATAAATAAAGCTTTTGCTTTATTTTAGCCATTTTAAAAATGATTCAAAAGTCAAAAACAAAAAAGGAGAAGGGACTTCTCAGCCCTCTGCTGCCCCAGCACTGCGTTCCTCAGAGAAGATTGCTATTAACAGTCTTAGCTAAAACGGATTGTCTTTCTCTCCCATGTGTACATAACTATATTTAGTTCACTGGATGTGATAATACCATGATTTTGCTTTTAAAATAGCATGTAATACTTAAACCATTCAAAAAGCATAAGGAATGATGAATATAGTGAGTATCCATGACTATGGTAGTTCTAGCCAAACACTATCTACCTTAAGAAATACACCATTAGGCCAGATGTGGTGGTACATACCTTCATCCCAGCATTCGGGAGCCAGAGGCAAACGGATCTCTGTGAATTCCAGGCCAGTCAGAGCTACATAGTGAGAGGCCTATCCCAAAACAAACAAAAACATTGTTGAGAGCCAGCAAGATGGCTCAGAGGATAAAATGTGTGTGTGTGTGTGTGTGTGTGTGTGTGCGCGTTCGTGTGTGTGTGTGTGTGTGTGTGTGTGTGTGTGTGTGTGTGTGCTGCATAAACCAAGCTATATGAATTTGATCCCTAGAACCTATGTAAAGGTGGGAAGAGAGAACTAATTCTACAAATTTGTCTTCTGACCTCCACACACATGCCATAGCATACATACATACAAACATATCATACACATTTATGCACACGATAATTAATGAAAAAAACCCCACACTATTAAGAGTTGGTCTGGGTGTCATGGCACATTCCTAAAATCAACACTCAGGAGGCAGAGGTAGGTGTATGTCTGTGAGTTCCATGCCATCCTGGTCTGCATAGTGAGTTCCAGGACAGCCATAGCTACACAGAGAAACCCTGTCTCAAAAACAAATAGATAAATAAATATTATTAGGGCCAGATATGATGGTACACACATACAATTTCACGTTCAAGAGACTGAGAATTTCAAGTCTGAGGCAAGCCTATGCTACATAGCAAGACCCTGTCTGGAAGAAGCTGGAGATGTAGTAGAATGGCTGCCTGAAGCCCCGGGTTCAATCCCCAGCCCCTCATAAAAGCCATGGTGGTACGTACATACCAGCATTTGGGAGGTGAAGGCAGTGTGGAGACAGGGGAAGAATCAGAAATTTAACTTCAAGGTTGAGAAGATGGCTCAGTCAATAAAGTGTTTACTGTATGTAGGTGGAGTTTTTCTCTGTCCCTACAGCCACTCCCAGATAACCACACAGAAACTTAATATGCTCAGCTGATTGCTCTTATAACTAACCCATTTCTTTCTTTCTTTCTTTCTTTCTTTTTTTTTTTGGTTTTTTTGAGACAAGGTTTCTCTGTGGCTTTGGATGCTATCCTGGAACTAGCTCTTTTAGACCAGGCTGGTCTCAAACTCACAGAGATCCACCTGCCTCTGCCTCCCAAGTGCTGGGATTAAAGGCGTGGGCCACCAACGCCGGGCCTAGTAACCCATTTCTATTAATCTATGTGCTACCCCGAGGCTCATTTACCTCATGGACATACTTCCCATCCTGCTCGTTCTTTGTCTCATAGTGGCTCCTGAGAGACTGCCCTTCCTCTTCCCAGCATTCTCTCTGTCTCTAAAATCCTGCCTAGCTATCAGCCAATCAACTTTGTATTAACAATGAGAACAACACATTTTCAGTGTACAGAGGGATTATTCCACAGCAACTGCAATAGTGAAGACTGAAGTTTAGATCCTAGCACCCATGTCAAAAGTCAGGAGTAGCCTGTAATCCCAACGTAAGGAGACAGAAACAAGATGATCCTAAGGGCTCACTGGCCAGCCAGTGTAGATGATTGGTGAACTCCAGGTCAACCAACGAGAGAGCCCGTCTTAAAACACAAAGTGGAGAGTGGTCAAGGAAGACACCTGACTTTGACCTCTAATCTCCACAGGCTCACATAGACTGATATATACATCTGTACACATGAATATAATATAATCCCACCCACCCACCTACACAAATACAAAATAGAACTTTAAGGTCATCTACTACATGAGGCCAGCCTGGGATACATGAGAAGAAATATACTATTAAGAATATGTGAAGGCTGGGTGTGAGGGCCCATCCTTTAATTTTGGTGCTTGGGAGGCAGAGGTAAGAGATTTCTGTGAGTTCGAGACAAGCCAGGGTTACAGTGTGAGACTCTTTCTAAAACAGAGTATTTGAGGGCTTGAGATATGGTTTAGATGGTAAAAGAGCTTGCTCTGCAAACTTGATGACCCTGGAACCCATGTAAAAGTTGGAAAGACCTGACTACTGAAAGTTGTCCTTTGACTGCCACATTCCCGTGCCCACACACACACACACACACACACCATACACACACATGATCACACATATACATCTCATATATATACCCCATGTCCACACATATACCTCTCTCTCTCTCTCTCTCTCTCTCTCTCTCTCTCTCACACACACACACACACACCCATACCCATGCTCACACATATATATCACATACACTCATGCTCACACATATACATCACACACACACATACATCTTACATATATACCATGCCCACACATATACATTATATACAATTTACACATACACCCGTGCCTACACATACACATCACACAAACAATCAATTAATAAAAAAAATTTCAAGATGGATATGGTAGCACACACCTGCAATCCCAGCACTTGAGAGGCAGAGGCAGGAGGATTTCTTGGCATTCAAGACCAGCCTACTCTATATAATTAGTTCCAGCCCAGCTAGGGATACATAGTGAGACTCTGTCTTGTTTTGGGTTTTTTGTTTTTTGTTTTTTTTTTTTTTTTTTTTTGGTTTTTCGAGACAGGGTTTCTCTGTGGCTTTGGAGGATGTCCGGGAACTAGCTCTTGTAGACCAGGCTGGTCTCGAACTCACAGAGATCTGCCTGCCTCTGCCTCCCGAGTGCTGGGATTAAAGACGTGTGCCACCAACGCCCGGCAAGACTCTGTATTGAAAAAAATATTTTTTGACACATGTATAAGAAAAATGAAAGAAGAGCTAGAGAGAAGACTCAGGGGTCAAGAGCACTGCTGTTTTTGCAAAGAACCTGGTTCCTAGTACCAACATGGTAGCTCACAACCATCTGTAATTCCAGTTTTAGGGGATCATTGCCGCCTTCAGATCTTGGTGGTCACCAAGTACACACGTGTGCTCATACATGCAGAATAAACACTCATAAAGTAAACAAAAAAGGAAAAGAATAAATGAGTTAAGCCTGGTTATGTATGCTGTAATCCCATTGGGATTGTGGGAAGTAGGTTTAGGAGACTAGTAGGGTTAGGAGATTAGTTCAAGGCTAGCCTAGTGGTCTGGAGGCTAGCTTGGGCTACATGAGATCTTGTCTGAAAACAAAAATAAAGGAGTGTAGTTGAAATCCCTATATAGTGCTGAGGTTAAATCCTCTCCCCACACCCAAAGGGACTACTAGCCTTCCCTGACTACTAGCCTTCCCTGGTTTTTCACTGCCATGCATTTGTTCCATGCATCTGTTGCCTTTAGCAGCTGAGTCATCTCACTGCCCTCTCTCTCTCTCTCTCTCTTTTTTTTTAAAGGAGTTATTTCAGGCCTTATATTAATGCTTTCTTTGCTACATGATTGCATATATGTTATGACCTTCTGTCATACAATTGTTCATTTATTTTCATTCAGCTTTGTTATGTTTTGCCTCCTAGGAACACCATTATGCGGGAGCTTGCCCCACAGTTCCAGATACCATGGTCCATCCCCACAGAAGCCGAGGACATTCCCATTGTCCCTACCACTTCTGGCACCATGTAAGCAGAAGTTAAAAGTCTGTGGTGACCTGCATAAAATCTAGGATTGCTTTCCCGACTCCATGCTATCTAACTAGTAGTGCCTGACCTTTACTAGTTACAGTCTCTGTGAGTCCACACTGTGTCTACTCTCAGACCCCTTTGTTCTTTGATATCTCAAATAGAATGTGATAGTAGGAGATAAGTTGAGGTCTGGGGTGGGAGAATGGCTCTGAGGACACTCCCAATCTTAGGATGGAACTCCGCTGTGTCATTGCCATTATCCGTCATGGAGATCGAACCCCAAAGCAGAAGATGAAGATGGAGGTGACACACTCGAGGTAGGAAGAATGTCCTAATTTAGATGGATAGTTCTTCTCGAGGGATATGGATAGAGCACACTTCCCAGGAGGTCTGATTTTTTTTTTCTTACATTTTACTTCTTCAGGTTTTTTGCTCTATTTGAAAAACATGGTGGATATAAGACGGGAAAATTAAAACTTAAGCGACCTGAGCAGCTCCAGGTAAGGTGGTGGATCTGGATGGGAGCCCTGGTCTAAGAAGAAAGAGAGCCCCAGTGGGACTGAGAAGGGGTGGATGGAAGGGTGAAATGGAGAGAAGGAAGGACTACACGGTTCCCTGTGGTCTCTAGGAGGTGCTGGACATTACGCGGCTGCTGTTGGCTGAACTGGAGAAAGAACCAGGCATTGAGATTGAGGAGAAGACGGGGAAACTGGAGCAGCTGAAATCCGTGTTGGAGATGTGAGAGAGGGACAGCGGCAGGGAGCTACTAACTGAGGTGTGGGGCAGGAAGTAACCTGTGCCTGTTCCCTGCAGGTATGGTCACTTCTCAGGTATCAACCGGAAGGTGCAGCTGACTTACTATCCCCACGGAGTGAAAGCTTCAAATGAGGGCCAAGGTGAGCAGCTCTCTTCTTCCTCCTCATCCTCCTCTTCTTCTTTAACATTCTAAAAACTATATTTATTTAGTGGTGGTGGGACACACATGCCACAGAGCAGTTGTGGAGCTCAGAGGACAACTGTGGGGGTCAGTTCCTTCTTTCTACCCTGTTGGTCCTGGGGATGGAACTTGGGTATTTAGGCTTGGTGGCAAATGCCTTTACCAGCTGAGCCATCTCACCGGCATTTTTTTTATTATTATTTTTTAAGATAGAGTCTTGCTATGTAACCCAAGCTGACGCCAAGTTCCCAGCAATCCTTCTGCCTCAGTTTTCCAAGAGCTAGTATTATAGGCATGTGACACCATACCTAGCTTTCAGATCTCTCAACCTTGTGCATGGTCTCTACCTGTAATTACCTATGCTCTCGTCAGAAATCCTGATGTTTATGTGTTCCCATCATAACCCCTGGATAAGGCCTGTCCACTGCACCTTCTTCCTTCAGATCCGCAGAGAGAAGCCCTGGCACCGTCTCTCTTGCTAGTGCTGAAATGGGGTGGAGAGCTGACTCCTGATGGCCGAGTTCAGGCCGAGGAGCTGGGTCGAGCTTTTCGTTGCATGTACCCTGGAGGCCAGGGTGAGTGTTGGAGAGTAAACACCTAGCAAGACTGGGATAAGATCATTAGTCTTAGGTGGGGAGAGGGGATTGAAGGAGCAGATGCTATGAGGATAATAAAGAGACAATTAGTATTTGTTCCCCACACAGCTTTGTAACAGTCTATGCTTGGAATTTCCTTTTGCTCCAGGTGACTACGCTGGCTTCCCTGGCTGTGGGCTGCTACGTCTCCATAGCACTTTCCGTCATGACCTCAAGATCTATGCCTCTGATGAGGGCCGAGTCCAGATGACTGCTGCTGCCTTTGCAAAGGTAAACCCTCTGGTTCTTCCACTGCCCCAGCTTCCCTTAGGTAGAGATGAAGAGTTCGGAGGACCAGATGGAAAGTGCTGGTATACTAATTCAGAGAAGTTTGTGTCCATCTCCATTCTGTACTGCTGAAAAGGAGCTGGGAATGGGCGGAGTCGGCCTCCTGAGGCCATCTCTCCATCCCGTATCTGGGATGTCTACCAGGAAGAGAAGCTAATAGACCTTGTACTTTCCTTCCAGGGCCTCCTGGCTCTAGAAGGAGAGCTTACACCCATTTTGGTGCAAATGGTGAAGAGTGCTAACATGAACGGGCTGCTGGACAGTGACAGTGACTCGTTGAGCAGCTGCCAGCACCGTGTGAAGGCACGGCTGCACCACATTTTGCAGCAGGATGCACCCTTTGGCCCAGAGGACTATGATCAGGTACCATGCTCCCCCTCTCCTGAACCTAATTCCTAAAACTCTAAATAATAGTACCCACTATATGCCAGGCACTGTGTTAGGATATTTAGCTACAGTATTTTGTTTAATCCTTACAGCAAAACTGGTGTCCACAGTTTTCATTATCCACAAATTCAAAGATTAAAAATATTTTTCTAAGTCTGGCATCAGGGTTCACTTGGCAGACCCATCACAAGACTATTTAGAATCCTTGTATATCTCATTCAGTGTAAATGTTATATATTTTGCTTCATTAATATTAATGTGTTTGGCTGTGCCTTAGGCCCTGCTAGAGGTATCATATACCATGTGGTTTATGCATTGTTTTAAATCCTGTAATCTAAAACAAACAAACAAACAAAAACCTTAGTTGTCAGTTTCAGCTGACTTGGGGTCTTAAGGTTGGAGGACTGTTTCAGTGATCTATGTAAGAACTGCCTCCAGGATTATAACTTAGGGCATCAGTTCATTGTCTCCGTCTTGGGCTCAGCTGGCCTTAGTTGTGTTCTCCTAAAGTCGTAGTGCAGTGTTGACTGGGGCTGGAATCTAGTTGAATCTAGAGATTTAACTAGAATTCTGGGGTGGCTGGCTCTTTACTTTATCCTCTCCCTGCAGCTGCAGGACCTATTCCCTTCACAAGAACTTGTCATGTGATTGGTCTAATATCTCAGGTGAAGCTTAGGACTCACCCAAAGCAGAAACTTCCCAAGTTTTCTTCTTCCTTTTTTTTTTTTTTTTTTTTTTTTTTGAGGCAGGCTATTGCTATAGAGCCCAGGTTGGTCTTGAATTTGCCATGACCACCCCCCTCCCCTGCTCTGCCTCCTGGCTGTGAAGCTTCTTAGCTGTCTTAAAGCAGGAGCCCACAATTAACACAACACATGTTTGTTATTTTATATTGGTGAAGCAGTCACAAAGCCAGCCCTGATTCACGGACAGGGAGAGACACAGAGTTAATGGTCTCCTTTAACCCACCTGAGAAACTGTTAGAACTGCCTACCCTCTTCCATCTTACAGAGGAGGAAGCCAGGTTCTGAGGGACTCAAGCATCCCTTTCAAGATGATGTAGGTCTGGACCCCTGGCTGCTAAGTGCTTGTTGTGTTGATTACAGCTGTAGCCATTGCCAGTGTAGTCTTCTTTTTTCCTGGCTATCTAGGCCACAGCTAGCCAGGCAGTAGTTTGTTTTTAACTGTTCCACACCTCATTTTGATAGGTTCTTTTTTTTTCTTTTTAAATATTTTTTATTTTATGTGCATTGGTGTTTTGCCTTCATTTCATGTATATTTAGGTGAGGGTGTCAAGTCCCCTGGAACTGGAGTACTGGAGTTATAGACAGCTGTGAACCACCATTTGGGTGCTAGGAATTGAACTCAGGTCCTCTGGAAGAGCAGTCAGTGCTCTTAACTACTGAGCCATCTCTCCAACTCAGGTTCTTTTTGTTTGTTTGTTTAAGTATGTATTTTTAAATTTTTTTAAAAAATTTATGTGAATGATTGTTTTGCCTTCATGTATGTATGAACACCACATTTATGCAATGCCCCTGAGGTCAAAAGAGGGCATCAGATACCTTGAAACTGGAGTTACAGACAATTGTGAGCTGTCATGTGGGTGCTGGAAAACAAACTCAGGTCCCCTGGAAGAGCAGACTCACTCTTAACAGTAGTGCCACTTCTCTGGCCCCTCTGATAGGTTCTTGAATGACTTACTAAGGGGAACACTTCTCTTATTTTCCTACCTAGTGTTCACTGCCAAACAGAAAATCCAGGGTACTCTCCCTTTGTTCATGCCTCCTTCTGCTAGTAAGAATGAAACTTATGAGGCCTTCACTGGAACTCTATTCCACCTATATTTATCTCTCCCCATTTCTTTTTCCTTTTAGTATTTTATTTTTGAGTGTATATGTGCATGTATACCTGTGTGTGGCTTGTGCACTTGAGTCTAGGTGCCTATGGAGCCCAGAAGAGGGTGTTAGGGCTCCTGGAACTGGAGGTATAAGTAGCTGTGAACCACCCAATGTGGGTTCTGGGAACCAGACTCTGGTCCTCTGCAAAAGCAGTAAGTGCTCTTACCTATTGAACCATCTCTCCAGCTCTCCTCATTTTGTATTGATGGTAACTGTCTTAAAGGCTTGAATTGGAAGCCAGGTGTAATGGTGCACACTAATCCCAGCACTTGAGGCCAGGCTGGTCTACAGGGCAAGTTCCAGGCCAGCCAAGGCTACATAGTAAGACCTTATCTCAAAAACAAACCAAACAAATGAAAAACCCAAAAACCTTGAGCTGAAACCTAGTTAGAAGTGACACTGGTACTGTAATGTAAGTCAGTATGAGACAGGCCTCTCTATTTCTCATCAGAACATTCCACAGAGACTGTAAGGAATTTATTCTTTATTCTCCAGCATTTTCTATGTGTATTTTACAGCCGCCAAATAAAGTGTAAGTATACTTGAATTTTTCTGGACTCTGAGATTTTTAAGATGGGTCCCTCATGGATGATCATTTATTGGAGCAGTGTCCTCATCTGAAGGGCCAGAACTGCCAGGATGCCCAGGAACTTAAGAACCTTCGGAAGTGAAAAAGCAGGCAGATCTGGATTGCAGCCCGTTTCTTTGTAGTAAGCCAGAGTCTGGGGAAGTAGTCTGAGCCCAGCCTGCTTTTCTGCACTATGTTCCTCACAGCTGGCTCCAACTGGAAGCACTTCTCTGCTCAATTCCATGTCTGTAATCCAGAATCCTGTGAAAGTCTGCGATCAGGTGTTTTCCCTGATTGAAAACCTTACCCGCCAGATTCGGGAACGGATGCAGGACCCCAGCTCTGTAGGTGGGTGTGAATACTACTGTCTGCCCGCTAAAGCCCAGGCACGGATGCATTCCTCAGGAACTCCTGATCCTTCTGGGTCTACTCCAGAGTTGTCAGGGTCTTCTGTCGGAAGTAAAATCTGGCCCCTTTTGACTGTCTGACTTCTTCTCAGACCTGCAGCTCTATCACAGTGAGACACTAGAGCTAATGCTGCAGCGCTGGAGCAAACTAGAGCGAGACTTTCGACAAAAGAGTGGGCGCTATGACATCAGTAAGATCCCTGATATCTATGACTGTGTCAAGTATGATGTACAACACAATGGGAGTCTGGGACTTCAAGGCACAGCTGAGTTGCTACATCTCTCAAAAGCTCTGGCCGATGTGGTCATTCCCCAGGTGTGTCTCATATAATGGATCCAGTAGGGTGGGAATACTGAGAAGGAAGGAAGGAAAGGAAACTAGAAAGGAAGCTTGGAGAAGGAATTCAGTTTTTACAGTTCCCAGGACTAGTCTGTGCATCAAGACAGACTGAGGAGACTTTTGGAGGGGATGTGATGGACAGGAAAGAAACTCCAGACCTGAGGGAAACAGATGTGGGACAAGACTAACTGAGCCTCTTCTTCCTGGCCTGTGACCAGGAGTATGGGATCAGTCGAGAGGAGAAAATGGAAATTGCTGTGGGCTTCTGTCTTCCACTACTGCGGAAGATCCTACTTGACCTGCAGAGAACCCACGAGGATGAGTCTGTCAACAAGCTGCATCCCCTGTGAGGGAGGGCTGGGAGGGGAACCGGATGGAGGGAGGGAGGGACATTGGGAACCCTGGGGGAGTCAAGGCTGAGACAGGTGGGGAGCCAAGAAGAGAAAGGATCTGGGACCGGGAAGAGAGAAGTCTGTGGGTGGGAGGAGGAGTTTTCAGAGGCTCAGAAAAGGGTCATCTGACTGGTGTCTGATTTACCTTTTATGTCAGGTACTCCCGTGGAGTGCTCTCTCCAGGCCGCCATGTTCGAACACGCCTCTATTTCACCAGTGAGAGTCACGTTCACTCCCTACTCAGTGTCTTCCGTTACGGGGGACTTCTGGACGTAAGCTTCCTCCTCCTTTGGACCTCTGAGCATTTATTTTCTAGCAGTCATCACTTGTCCTTCCCGTATTTGTTTTTCCTGTGAACATTTGCCATTCTCCTCTGTCCCCTGCCAACTCCTCTTACTTGTCCTTGGGCGCTGGCTTACCTTTGTTTGTGTTTGGTAGGAGACGCAGGATGCACAATGGCAGCGAGCTTTGGCTTATCTTAGTGCCATCTCAGAGCTCAACTACATGACCCAGATTGTTATCATGCTTTATGAGGACAACACTCGGGTGAGGAGCCAGCAGGGCCAGCAAGGCGGGATGAGGGAAGGGCCCTTCTTCCAGCTTCCCTTTTATTTTTAAGTGTGTGTGTGTGTGTGTGTGTGTGTGTGTGTGTGTGTGTGTGTGTGTGTGTGCATGCATGCACTGTACATGTGTAGAGATCATAGAACAACTTGTAGGAGTTGACTGTCTTCTTCACTTCATGGTTCCTGGAGATCAAACTCAGATCACTGGGGTTAGTGGCAGACAGACACCTCTACCTGCTGAGCTGTCTGTCCCACTGGCCCACAAAAGATTCTTTTCTTTTCTCTTCTTTTTTTCTTTCTTTCTTTCTTTCTTTCTTTCTTTCTTTCTTTCTTTTTGTTTTTTTTTTTTGTTTGTTTTTTTGAGACAGAGTTTCTCTGTGTAACAGTACCAGGCTGGCTTGAAGTCACAGAGATCCACCTGCCTGTGCCTCCCAAGTGCTTAGATTCAAGGCGTGTGCCTCTATTGCCTGGCACAAAAACTTTCTTATTCTTAGATTTGTATAGACTTTGGGCAGTGGTTTTTCTTCAACTGCCATATCTGTTGCTGTCTTTGAATTGTACTCGATAAGTTTGGGTTTCATCTTTGAAAAAAAAAAGAATTTATAGAATCCAGCTAGATGCAGTGTGTAGGTACAGCATGGCACAGAGCACCTACAAGAGTCCTACTGAAACAGATCCCATGTTCTGGGGTGATGTTGAGCCAGAGAGATAACTTAGAACACAACTGTAGAATTTGGGACAGTGTTTTATGATTCTTATTTTTGCTAATATCTGTAGACCTCTCTCTGTCTCTCTGTCTGTGTGTGTGTGTGTGTGTGTGTGTGTGTGTACATACGCATGCCTTCTGCATCAGGCTTAGCAAAGACATCTCTAAAGTTCTGCTGTGTATATCACAGGCAAGCTGTTCCTGGGAGAGGTGGCAGGGAAGGATTGTAGAACTGGAGGTGAGGTGTGAGCTCCTATAATAGGTGAGCCCCAGACTGAGGGCAAGACCCAGAAACCTCAGTCGTGGCTTTCCTGAGTGGTTGTACCCTTTTGAGTTCCTCTCTGCTGTGCCCTCATATTTGTCACCACGTCCAGATTCTCCCAGTTACCCTTCATATGGTGACACCCTATAGGACCCATTGTCAGAGGAGCGGTTCCATGTGGAGCTACATTTCAGCCCTGGAGTGAAAGGTATTGAAGAAGGCAGTGCCCCGGCTGGCTGTGGATTCCGTCCAGCCTCGTCGGAGGTGGGTCAGAGGACTGGGATTTGGGACTCTAGGACTTAGGCATCAGGGGACCAGGTGGTGGGAAACTGGGAAGTAATCCAGGGTGATTCAGAAGGTTGAGGAGTTTGGTATTAAGAAGATGGAAATCATTAATGCCTCTCCATTTGTCTGTTATTACAGAACGAGGAGATGAAACCAGATCAAGGCAGCATAGAGAACCTTTGCCCAGGGAAGGCATCAGATGAACCAGACCGAGCATTACAGACCTCACCCCAACCTATTGAGGGCACTGGCCTCCCAAGGAGATCACCCCTCATTCGGAATCGCAAAGCTGGCTCCATGGAGGTAATGAGATGGATACAAGAGGATGATGGGGTACAAGTACTCATAAGAAAATATCCATGTTTCCTCTGAATCTTCTTGAGACCTGAAGCAGAGTCCCCTTGCAACAGTTTTATGTTTACCTAATATTCCTTTCACAGCTGGTCCCCAGTAGAACTTCTTTAAGCTGGTTACTACTTGTGATGGTAAAGACTTGCCAGTGAGCGGTACCTAAGAGAAAAGGATTTTAAGATAAAGTAGAGGCAGCATGAACTCTGGGCTGACATCACCGTTTGATTCCCAGAAGCTGTGTGACCTTGTCCAGGTAGCTTCTCAAGCCTCACTTCTTTTTCCATCTGTGCGATATGAGTAATATCTACCTTACCTTATAGATGCATTAAACGTAGCTACAGGAACAGTGCGGTTGATGTTAGAGGCTAGGCCCTCTTCTGTTTGTTCAGACTTGAGCAGATTCCTGGCACTTGAGTGCCATTAGGATTATCTATACTGTCACGCCGGAAGGATGTTGACCATCTAGAGTTGTGTGTGTCTCTCCTGTTGAGATGGTTTATCTGCCTGGGTCTGTGTTTTGCTATTTTTAGATTTTTGTCCCAAATCTCACTTCTGGTTTTCCAATCTAGACTTGTCACTGCATCTCCTTACTGTCCTCCAGGTTTTGCTTTGTCTTTCTTGGTAACCCAGTTTTCTTCTTTGGCCCAGTAATACTTTCATTTCCTCCACGACACTCCTTTCAATGCCATGACTTATCCCTGTCTCAGAGACTGCCTGCTCTGGATACTGCTCTGGACTCCTGGATCTATTCAACTGGCTTTTTACAAGTCTCTGTCTTGTGGGATTTGGTTTTTCTGTTTTAGAGATATCTCAGAAGAATCTACAATAAGCTTTCATAGGTTAATACAGAGATTTACATTTCAGATTTTGGAGAAGGCCAAGAAAATAAACTACAGTCTCTATCCAGACTTATCCCTTGCTTCCTGATTATTTTAGGGGGGAAATGCTGTGTTGAACATGCGGTTCCTTTAGGAGAGATGAGATGTGCCTTAGTTTCTCTTGAGGTGCAGGTAGAACGTGGTGCCAGCACTCTGCACACACTCTCACCCTTGTGCAGTAGATCCCATGGACAGGATGGTGTGTAATCGTCTGTCCTTGGCTGTCCCTTTGTCCCTTTATGTCAGCACGAAGAGCATAAACAAAGGAGAATTCTGTGACATCCCCTTTCAGGCTTACTAAGATTGTCTTCTTTCTGGAAGCTTCCTTGAATACGATCACGTTTTTTTCTTTGTGGTATTGGGACTTGAACCCAGAGCCTCACACGTGCCCGGCAAGTGTTCTACCACTGAGTGACATCCCCATCCCTTTCTGTTATTTTTCATTTCGAGACTGAGCTTTGCTCAGTTACCAAGGCTGGTTCTGAACTCACTCTGTAGCACACACAGACTTTGAACTGGTGATCTTCTTGCCTTCTCCTCCCGAGTAGCTGGGATCACAGGCCTGAGCCACTAGACCTGTCTACAATTCCTGTTGCAATTGCATTTCTTCCTTTGAGTTATGGGTGTTGCGTAGATCCTGGCTTGTTCAGTGTGATGACTACCCAGCATGTGTTCCTTAGCAAGCTCCTTGGTCACACAGCCTTTTATTATTAATGCTTTCTCTCCTTGCTCTGTAGGTCAGGATTGGACGTCCTATTATCATCAATGACATCTCATCCCTGCTTCTTCTCTTGTCATCTCATATTTTTGAACTGTTTTAGATTATAAAAACATATGACCCTAATAGCAGCTATGTCATAGCTGGCCATCCTCTCCGGCTCTCTTATTGGCTCTGCCCTAGGGATACTGGGGCTTTGGGAGCTTGGAGGCTAAAGGAGCCTTGACCGGCTTTCTACCCGGTCTGATTGCAGGTCATGAACATGCAGTGCACAGGGAACCTGGACCTGATCCCCTTGAGGGGACGGCGCCGAAGGAGGTCAGGAGACCTCCCCCGGCTCTCCCCAGCCATCGGCCTACAGCCCCGGGCTGTGTCCACCACTCACCTGGCTTCCTGCACACAGGTGTCTCTTCCTGCCTTGACTTCCTTTCTTGCCTTCTGTCTTTGCTTTTGGGTTCTAGGGAAACTGCTCATTGTCTAGGTGGGATGTATTGTATGTTGGGGATTGTGTGATTGGCCCTCATGGGTATTTTGAGGGAAAATAAATCAGTATCATGATTCCAGGAATACTATAATTGGAGAGGGGGCTTCTTGGCTTAAATAAGAAACTGAGGATGGCTGTATTCACCTCAGCTGTCCCTGGAAAAAAGAGAGGGCAGGCCATACTTTATTTGTGGCTGAGTCACAGTGATTGGCTTTCTGATTCCTAGGAAGAAACAGGTAAGACTGAAGTGCCTACTCTGTTGGGGATGACCAATAATTTGGACCATGGTTCATCGGATATGGGGTGGGGGTGGGAGGCTGCGAGGACCAGTGTTTTGGCAGTAGAAATGCCTTCTAACATAGATGGACTCCCAGGACACCTCACCTCTGCAGCGTGCACTCTGTTCCCTTCTTATTCTTCTTTCACCATAAAAATCTTCAGGCTCATCTAATCTTTTTGATACTGCTTGGCTTTGTAGGGGCAGGAATTCAGAACCTGGGTCTTATACTTTGAGATGACAAGGGGATTAATATAGAGTCCTTTTTCTTCAGGTGCTGTCTGAAACTTCATCTTCAAGACCTGGTGGCTACCGGCTGTTTTCATCTTCACGGCAACCAACAGAGATGAAGCAGAGCGGCCTAGGTAAGTTTTCCAGCATCTCTCACCTTTGTTGTTGGAACGGGTTGTCTGTCTGTTATCCAGAGTTTTATTGTGGGAAATCTTTATCTCAGAAACTGAGACCATCCAGTCAGTGGCACTGTCAGATGTGGGAAGGGAAAATAAAATGGAGGAGGCTGGAGTTATGTGTGGATGGATCTAGGTGATTGTTTTCATCCCAGAAGATTGTTTGCCTTTTGATTTTCCCCACCAACCCCCATTTCCCTAGCTGAAGGGTATTTTTCTGGCTTTCCTTCTCATTCCTTATCTGTCGCTCCAGTCTAGCCCAGACTGTAAGGGGCCGTGGAGGCTTTGACCCTTCAGAGTTATCAGTGACAGGTAAAACGAGAGGCCCTTGTGAACTGCAGTCGACATATTTCCATGTGAGACCTTGGGCCACGTCTTCTTCTGAAATTTGGTTTTCACGCCCTGCTTTCCTAATCCTCTAACTTTTTCCTTTCTTCCCGGAAGCTTGAGGGACACAAATCTGAGACGGGTGAGGTGGCAGAGGCCCCCCTCAGGACATTGAGGGGATATCTCTTGATGTTTTTGAGCCCTGGAAAGGGATGGAGAACATCCTTCAGCCTTTTTCTAAGGACACAGCCTTGAGGAAGCACCAAGCCTCAGAGGGTATGGGATTCTTTGGGGCAGTCCTTGAGATGGACCCTGTCTCAAAAAACGAAAAAAGAAAAGAAAAAGAATAAGACATAGGAGCTAGACATGGTAGTACACTTTTAATGCTAGCACTCAGGCTACACAGATGAACCTTGTCTTGAAAACCAAAACCAAAACAAAACAAAAGAAGAAGAAAGAAAAGAGAAAAGAGAATAAGGTATAGGAGCTGGGTATATAGTGTAGTGGAATGTGCCTGTAGACCAAAGCACTTCGGGGGATGAACTGGGAAGTTCCCTAAAACTCAGGGGTTGGAGGCTAGCTAGCATGGACAACATAGGGAGACTCCTATGTCAGAAACAACAAGCGGAGTAAGGCAGAACCTGGGATACACAGAACTAGTGACAGATGGTAAGATAGAGACTCCCTCTGAGATATCTGAGGGCTGGCATGATTGTACCAGGAAAGTACTCATAGAGGAAGTTAATGTAGGACAGAGCTTGATGTGGTCCAGGATAGAGCCAGCTCCCTTCTCTTTTCTTTGAAGAAGAGCAGACATCTTTTACCGTGTGTCACTCTGTGGAACTTCAGTCTAAAGCCTGACTGAACATGGAAGTTGGCTGCATAGAGGGGTCCCGAATTCCATTGCCCACCTGAGCTTTCTGATTTTTGTGGTATCCCTGAAATACTGAGACCCTGGTCTTCTCTGTAGTTTCAAGGGGAACTGTCCTCTTCTCTAGTCTGAATATGAGTATGACCTCCCCAGCCAAACCCAGGGTCATGGTTATGATGGATTTGGAAGTAGTAGAAGGGCAAATCCCAAGAATCCGAATCTCAGTCTTGTTTTTTTTTTTTGTTTGTTTGTTTGTTTTGTTTTTTTGGTTTTTTTGTTTTGTTTTTTTGGTTTTTTGTTTTGTTTTTTTGTTTTTGAGACAGGGTCTCTCTATGTAGCCCTGGCTGTCCTGAAACTCACTATATAGACCAGGCTGGCTTTAAACTCACAGAGATCCTCTTGCCTCTGCCTCCCAAGTGCTGGGATTAAAGATGTGCACCACCACACTTAACTCAGGAATGCCAGTCTTATGACTTCCCAGTTACTGTGTCATCGGGGCTATAGGAGGACTGGGGAGTCCAACCCTACTCTAGACCGCCTGGGGACGTTTCTGACCCGACTTACCCTTTCCAGAGGTTCTTCAAGTTTCATTTACTCCTCAAACTGGGACTTCTTTTTGCTTTCTCTGAACTTATACATATGAGCAGCTGGTTTTGATCACAGGGCTTGCAAGACAATAAACTTTTCAGAACAGGAAAAGAAAGTTTTTGTTGTTGTTGTTTCCTGCTTTCTGTCTTAGTAGGGTGCCTAGCACATAATTGGCATGTCCTACTTTATAAGCGACTGGCTTTTCAGATGTCTTCTGGTTTGTGTTTATCTTGACTTCAGGATCTGTGCTGTTGCACTGTGACAAAAACCCTTCTCTTCTAACCAAATGCAGTTAGTCCCTGGAGGAAGGAGACCTAGATTCTGGTCCTCCTTGGCTCCTGTAATGTGACCTTAAGCAAAGGAGACCCCTTTTGGATTTGTTTCTTCACCTGTTACGTAAAATGAAAAGGTTAAGCTAGATGGTCTCTGAGTCCCCTTCAGCTTTAAAGGCACACGGCTCATACTTGTAAGTGAAAGATCTGCAGGATAGGATGTTGGATGAAGGGCATGGAAGTAACTGTGTGCCGACCAAGTACCCAAACCCAGTCTCTAGTTTCAGGGGAAGCTTTTCCCTTTCAAAACTCTCAGGGGCTAGATTTCTAGGCTTCTCAACTCCTCCATCCAGAGTTAGGGGAGCGCGCTCCGGTGAGGTGGTTCAGCAGTAAAGATACTCACTTGCTGCCAAACTTGATGACTTGAGTTTAACCCCTGGAACCGTCATGATGGAAGGAGAGGACTGAGTACTCCACGTGCATGTCATGGCTGCATTCTCCCCTCCTACACAAAGTAATACAGGTTTTAAAAGTTTAGGGAGACTTACCTAGTCTTGTAGTGCTGCTGACAGTTACCTTGGAAAGCCCACCCACCTCAGTCTATTGAATACCTAATAAGACTAATAGCATTTTTGTAGTGGCCTTTTGTCTCTGCCGTGTAGATCTTCTGGAGAGTTGCTACTTTGCTTGCCTGGTGTGGCTATAGACAGTAGTGGACACTCTTTGTGGTTACTTGGAGTAGCTGCATTGTGGTGGCACTGAATGGCTGTGTGTGTCTTAATGTTGTACTGTGAAGTTCTGTGTTCTGTATGCAGCTGTGTGTGGCTACTAACGAGCTCCCGGCCTTGCAGGCTCACAGTGCACAGGGCTGTTCAGCACCACAGTGCTGGGCGGCTCCTCCAGCGCTCCGAATCTTCAGGACTACGCCCGCAGCCATGGCAAAAAGCTCCCGCCTGCCAGTTTAAAGCACCGAGATGGTATGTGGGTGGGTCTTGGGGGGGCAACTCTCTCTCTCTTTTTAAAAAACAAAACAAAACAAAAAAACTTGTCTCCCAGCAAGCATACAGCTCCAGAACTGTTCATGCTTAAGATGGCCCTGGTGGTGGCCTTACACCAAGCTTTCTTCATGGACAGTAGATGGGAGAAGGAGCCAGGGCCCCCCCCACTCCTCCATTTGCATTCCCTCTCACCATACAAATACTACCTATTTATGCTTATCCCTTCATAATCTCCCACACACAGCCTGGCTGCATCAATTTGTACTCTTTCCTGGATTCTGGCCTGTAGGGTGAGGACCGAGAGGATGACCCATGGTCAGGAGGAATGCAGTGGAGTCTTGGTTAGGTTCCAGGGAATCAGTGTTAGGGACGTGGAGGTTGCTAGATGACAAGATGAAATGAAAAGATACTGGGGGAAGGGAAGGAAGTTTCTATACAGACTTTGTTTTCCAAATGGCTAGGAAGAGAACGTGGTGGTGAAATCAGGGTTGTTTTTGTGGGACCATGTTGTGGTAAAGGTGACACCAACTACTTAGAGATTACAGCAGAGGAAATACATGAAGTGTTGTAGCTAAGGTCCAAGGGTCGGGAATGGGACCAGGTTATATAACAAGGTAAAGAAGCAAGTACATAGTGGGCAGGTTCCAAAGCCAAGGGTGGGCACAGGGGTGGGTATAATCCCCGTGATGTCTTTTCTCCCCAGAGCTCTTGTTTGTCCCGGCCGTAAAACGATTTTCTGTGTCGTTTGCAAAGCATCCGACTAACGGTACGTTTGCTTCTGACTCAGCGTCATTCCTCCTCCTCATGTCACCTCCAGACACTTAACCCTGAGTTCTGACACTGACTTTGCCTCTCCTTCCACTATTTTGACACCCTGCTTTCTCTGAATGAGCCCCTCACTAAGTGTCCTTCCTGGGACATTTTCCTGGTGATAGCCATAGTCATGGCTGTAGCCTGGATAGGCTGACCTATTCCTGTTGCAACTCAGGGTCTGATTTCCATAATCACCATCATCACCATTCCATAACTTTTGTCAGCATCACCACCAAAACATCAGTCACAACTGTCCCTTTCCTATCACATAACTGCTGGGCTGTGTGCAGACATACCAGGGTTTCCTTCTCAGCTGAGAATAGCATCGCCTAGATAGGGCTCACTCTCTCCCTGCTGTCTCAGCTTACGTGATTTTGATCTTCTGTTTCACTCTCCAGCTCTTGATGGGGTGGATGCAGAGTGTGTTCTCTTCTGGAACAGCTCGACAGTTACTTATTAGGGCTTTGGTTTGGACATGTGACCTCCCATCTCCATAGTCCGGTCTCCCGCCATTTCATGTACTTTGTGTGGCTCTTGTGTTCCTGACATCTGCTTTATGTTTTACTAACCTAGTGCCTGGGCCTAGAGAACAGGAGCCCAGATTGCTTTGGGATAAAAGGAAAACAATAGAAAGGAATGGGAGGTGTTAGGTAAGGAGAAAGGACTGTGCCTTCAGGTTTCTTTCTTTCTTTCTCTTTTTCCTTTTTCCTCATTGGCTGAGTGGTCAGTGCTCGAAAGTGAACCCTGGTATTTGTGTGTACTAGCCATGTGCTCTGACATTGAGCTAGGCTCCAGCCTCTTCATCTTGAGTCTTGACTTTCCGTGAGGCCAGGTATACCTATGGAAACACTGAGTCAGAGGAGCTGGGAGTGACGGGATGAGATAGGAGCCCTGGGAGAACTCAGGAATAAGCAATATTTTAAGAATATAGAAGAACTAAGTCTGTATACATTGCACCCTGAAAAGTTATGGTCTCTTTGTGGGTTATGACAAGAGAATCTAAGACCTATTCCCTATTGAACTTTTTTTTTTTTCTCTCTGTGTTGTATCTTGTCCCCTAAGTAAAGCCACCTTTATTAGATAATGGTTTTCTTCTATTCAAGAGCTGAGACTCTCAGAGGAAGTTAAATTATTCTGATTTCCTACCCCACCCCCCATCAGTTGCCTCACCAGTGGCAGGTGTTAGATTTTAGCCTGGTCAGGTCATGCATATCCTCTAGACACTGCTGGAGTCTCTCTCTAGGTTGACCCTGTATTCGTTCAGTTCATCTCCACCTCCAGGCTCTCTTTTCTGCCTGTGGCCAAAGTCCCCAGCTGTAGTGATTTGTCTGTGCTAACTCATATAGTCTCACATACCATGGTTGTCGTAGAGGAGAACTTGATGCCCAAACCCCAAGCCTGGGACTTGGACTTAGTCTATAATATAGAAACAGGAGCTTGGGTCCCTGAAATAAGAGACAAATCATGTATCTCCCAGTTTCTTGGGTGCCATTAGAGAAAAACCCAGGTTCATACAAACAAATCCTCAAACCTTTATCTCTAGCTCTCAGAAGCCTTGGTTGACAGACTCAGCAGCTGAAGAAACAAGAATTAATTTTGCTGTAAGGAGGAAAGGAAGAAAGACCTGGCAATTCAAGTATAGTGTAGGAGAACAACCCAGGTCTCTGACATCTTGCACACTTGCCCTGGGTTCTTCTAGCCTCCTCACTTCTCTTGTGTTTGAGCCAGGAGCTTAATATTCTTGCAAAGCCAGGACCTGGGATCTACCGTTTGTAACAAGAAATTTGGAACTATTGTATTTGACAGAGAAGATCATCTTGATGGCATTTAGCACTTAGGACATGAGAGCTCTACCCCATGGCCAAGGTCCTGCTTTACTGACTCAGCAATTCAGAGCAGTTGCTCTGTCTGCAGTTGTCTATGGCAGATTCTTTGTAACGGTGTGCCGAGTGAGCCTACTATCTAATATCCCCATCTCCTTGCATGATGTCTGGCTTTGACACGGCAGCTGAAAAACAAACAAACAAAGCCCCCTAAAACTGGACCTGGCTTTGGAAAAGAGACAAGGCAATGCTGTGTTCATACTTTGATGGAAGAACAGCCCCTTGTACATCCGGCTCCTGTTCCTGATGAGCTCTTATATCCTGTTACTACAACCATGATACGGGTGTGGTACATCTCTATATATGCTGAAGTCACAAAAGCAAATTAATCTAGTGGGAAAAAGACAGTGGTCATCCAGAATGTCAGAGTGCCCAGTGGATTTATCAGCCTCTTTATGTTGTGTCACCCCACACAGCTGTGTGACTGTTGCCACAGTCAGGCCTCACTACTAGTCCAAGAGGAACTAAAAACCAAGCTCTTTTTGGAAGCTGTGGTCTCATGGGACCAGCAGGTGAAACGGTTCTGATCTGGGAGTTCTGAGCAGTCATCTTCACCCACTTTGATTCTCCTGCCTTTGCTGTATCAAGCCCTGGCTCGTCCTCACGTCAGTCCTCGTCCCCATATATTCCCTCCAAGGCCTGACACTGCTGTTCCTCTTGTATCCCTCGTCGATGCCTTTGGATGCCTTCAACTGTCTTGCTGCTGAATCCCAGACATCCACAGAATGTCCCAAGTGGCTAAAGCAATGAGGGATTCTGAATTAAAGCTCTTCCACACACCAGCTGGACAAAGAGCAGTTAGACTGTTCACCCGTGGAAAGAGAACATAAAGAGATATAACTCTTGGCCTGAGTGAGGGACATATCACCACCACCACCACCCATATCCTGAAACTAAAGTGTTTATTTGTACAAGAGTAAGGTAAAGGGCAGTTAGTCATATTTGTATTATAAAGAGCAAGTCTGATTTTTTTTTTTTTTTTACCTGCACTGTTTCAAAGGAGTCCTACTCCTGGTTTCCCGCCAACATTTTGTGCCAGCCACCTGGCACCAGTCCCATCTGTGGCTATCCTAGAATCTGCGTCGCAGCGGGCCTTAGCCTTCTGGAATGTTTTCAGTTTGGAGTTATCTAAACATCTAATATCATTTTGACCTTCTTCTCTGAGTGACTTTGAATCTCTTCATCTCGGTCCCAGTGTCATAAATCCATTTGTCTAAGAAGCAGACCCTAGGGTTTATCTAAGATAGATCAGAGACGGGGGCTCTAGTCAAGGCTCTGGCTGTAGAATTTGCAGCTCACCTTTATCCAGAATGTTCCTCAAGCACCAACTAAATTGTGCTTGAGGAAGGGTAGGGCCTGGGGTCTCATTAATGGCTTCTTTGAGTCTCACTGTGTGGTGCCAATGCTCTTCTTTCAAGTAAGGGATGACCAGTCACTCTGACCGTCTTTCTTTCTTCCTTAGCTTACCTTGGGTCTAAGTGGCCCCCATTCCCAGTAACGTTGTCAGTCAGTGCCCCCCTCATTGTCTCTCCCTCTTGTCTTTCTCTATCTCTGTGCTTCCTATCGTGGTCCCTCTGTCCCCTGCAGAGCTGCTGGATGACCAGCACCCTGTGGTCCGGCTGCTGCGCGCTTTTTCCTCTGACTGCCCGAGGGGCTGGCCAGTCTCCTTGGATGCCACGCTGGCGCACCACCTGCACCAGTGCTCGTACCACCTGCGCCTCTTCCGGAACTGGCTGCGCTCAGGCCAGGATGACCCCGAGTGCCTCTACGGTACCCCCTGCCACAGGCTGGCCGCTGCCACTACCCTGGCTGGGACTGACTGCTTTGCTTATTGCGTTTCTGGCTGGAGAGCCTATCCAGCCCCTGAGGTTATGTGACTTGCATTAGTTGCTTGATGGGGATTGGGGCCAGGCTGCCTGATAGCTGTAGCGTTGGCTGCTCATCCCCCTTCTAGTCTCCTTTCTTACTTCCCTCTAATGTCCCCCATTCTGTTCAGCATAGGCTTAATCTCTTGCCCTGGAATCTGATGTTTTGTTTTACTTATTTTTTTAATGTGTTCTTATATCTCTAATCTTATACTACCATCATCTTCAAATCCAAAACACGTTTTTCTAACCACTCTGATGAGCTAGAGACTCCTCTGCCCTCCTGCCACTAGATTATAAGGGGAAAGCAAGGCACGGGGCATCAACTAAACATGAAGACAGACAAAGCTGGAAGTTAGAGGCTGATCAGGTATGGTAATTTTGAGCGAGCACTCTTATTCATTGATGAGGAAGAGGCCCAGTCTTTTGTAGATGGTGCTGCCTTCCCTGTTCTTGGTTCCTTTGAGGAGAAGAAGCATTGGAACGCTTGGGGACTGAGACAGTGCTTAGGATGTGTTCTTGATCCTTCAGTGGGAACATTTTTTCCCATTAATAATCCTAGGAGTAGGGTTATTCACTGATGTTTACCTTTGGTGCTACCAAGACTTGTAAAGCTGTATTATATGGTAAATTTTTTTTGGGGGGGGGTTGTCTCATTTTCTTGGTGGAATAGAGAAAACCTAGCAAGCTCAGGATGTCACAGGTAGAGCATAAGGAAAAAGCTTTGATGTGATGGAAATGACCAAGAAAGAACTTCCCTCCCCCACCCTGTTCATGCATGTGGTTTTCCTCAGCTGAGCTCATGTATCGCATGCTCTCCAGTCTGCATCCAAGTACTCTAGCCCTTCTACCCACACCCCAAATTTGCATGAACCTCTCTCCTCGGATTCCATGCCCTTCTCCTTAATCTGTTTTTTTTTTTTTTTCTTTTCTTCATGATACCTGAAATCTGCTGTTCCTTCCAAGCTTCATGACCCGCTGCATCATGTTAGATCTACAATTTTAACCCCTTGCCTCTTGATCCCTGTTTTATTTGCCCCAGAAAGTACAAGAGCAGTGTTAGTGCTCTTGTTTGTCCACGGACACTGTGTACTCTCCATAGGTGAAGGTGATTTGACTACCTGGAGGCTTAGCAGGTGGACATTTTAGGAAAATTGGAGATGAGATAAATAGACTTCCTGAAGGGCTCTAAAGAGTTCCTTCTCCTGGAAACCTTGGATATCCCATACTCAAAAAGCCATAGACTCTCCTGATGGCTCTCAGGGACTCTCCAACCTTCTTTGACCAATTGGAGTACATCTGGTGGGAATAACACTGATTTTGTTCATTTCTTTTCCCAACAGGATTTGAAGGGTGCTCCATGGTACCTACCATCTACCCCCTGGAAACACTACATAATGCCCTTTCCTTGCGTCAAGTGAGTGAATTCTTGACTAAAGTCTGCCAGCGCCACACTGATGCCCACGCACAGGCATCTGCAGGTATGGGAAGTACTGTTTGTGTCTCTATCCTGACCTCCATACCCATAATTGTAGAATATGAGGAATAGTGAATTTAAAATGGGATGGTGGTGGTTTAGCAGGTAAGAGCACTTGCTGCTCTGACAGAGGACCAGAGCTCTCTTTGCAGCAACCACATCAGGTGATTCACAGTCACCTGTAGCTCCAGCTCCAGGGAATCTGACATGCACTCCAGCCTCCATGGGCACTGAAATGCATCTGCACATATAAACTGAGATGTGTCTGGCATGGTTGGTGCACACCTTTAATCCCAGCACTCGGGAGGCAGAGGCAGGCAGGGATCTCTGTGAGTGCGAGACCAGCCTGGTCTACAAGAGCTATTTCCAGGACAGCCTCCAAAGCCTCAGAGAAACCCTGTCTCGAAAAACCAAAAAAACAAAAAAAACCACAGATGAACATACACACATACACATACATAAAGACTAAGTAAAATAAACTTAAAAGTTAGGAAGTTGGGAATTTAACTCAAGTGATAGAGCACTTGCTTAGCAAACACAATGCCCTATGATCTTTCCTTAGCACCAGAAATGAGAGATAGAGAAAGAGAGACTTGGGAAGATATGTCAGTGAGTAAAGCGCTTGTATAGTAAGGACAAGGACCCATAGTTTAAAACACTGAGCCAGCCTGATGGCCCACACCTTTAATCCCAGCACTTGGGAGTAAGAAGCAGACAGATCTCTCTGAGTTCAAGGCCAGCCTGATCTACAGAGCAAGTTCAAGGACAGCCAGAGATACACAGAGAAACCCTGTCTCAAAAAACCAATGGCTTTTGCAGAGGAGCCAAAGTCACTTGCCAGCGTTCATGTACGATGGCTCATAACTGCCTGTTACTCCAGCTCCTTGGAATCTGACATCCTTCTTTGGCCTCAGTGGGCACCAGCACTCCTGCATAACCAGTACACACACACACACACACACACACACACACACACACACACACACACACA